TATTATTTATACTTTTAACTTTCTAAGTGTAAAGGTCCTTATTAAGTTAGTATTTAGTTACTAGTTTATTATAAGGCCTATAAAGTAAAAGGTATATACTTCTTTTTTTCTTTATATCTTATATATTTATTATAAATATAGTTAGCCTAGAACACCTTATAGTATAGTAGATATTTTAGGTCTAAGTGCTTATAGTCTTTAAACATAGGTTCTTTATTATATAGGATAATAGGTTCTCCTTTAATATCTATATCTTAGGTCTTATAGAATAAAAGTTCTTGTTTATTTATATTCTTTAGTACTTTATAGAATATAAGGCTAAAGCTATTATTACTTTATATTATAAGGTTATTATAAGTTTATAAAGCAAGGGGTTTATTTAAATTATAGCCTAGTATACTTTTAATTAAAGATAAAGATAATAGTAAACTATACGTTTATTCTCTAATCCTTTAGTCCTTAACCTTAGGGAGATTAGGATTTATAAGATTATTATAGCTAATTTCTACTAATTATTTAGTAGCTTTTTGCTTTATTTTACTAGGGGATATAAACTTATCTAAAGAGAGTTTATTAGTAAGTTTTTCTTTATTAGAACTAGTTCTCTATACTTTAATAGTGTCTTAAGGGGTTAGTTCCTAAATAGTAAGTTATAGAAGTAAAAACTAGGTCTTTTTCTTTTTCTCTACTACTATAACTTTAATAAATTATATACCTAGCTTAGTTATTTTATTTATAGTCCCTAGGACGTCTTATTTTAGTAGTAGTTACTTCTAGTAATTCCCTTAGGCTTAGATTTATATATATAGTTATTTTTTAATAAAGTTTAATATATCTTATATATATAGTTACTTAAGTTTCTCTTATACTATATCTTAGGCTTAGATTAGTTTTAAGATAAGTTACTAGTTATATTATTCTAAAGCTTATTCTTAGGTAACTTATTATTTCTTAGTAATAGTAATAGTTCTAGTAAAAGTGTTTTAAAATCCTTTTATTTATATAATTTTAGTAAGTTCTAATATTTCTTCTAGATCTAGAGGTTAAGGTTCTACTACTTTATAACTTTAAAAGGTTATATAAAGTTAAGGGTATACTCTAGTTAGTAAAAAGAAGTTTCCTTAGTTTTTCTTTTTTACTTTAATTTATTACTAAATATTCTTCTTTTATTATTATAGGTTTTATAGTATATAGTATAGGTTTTATAGTACTTATTTATTATACTTACTTAGTACTTAGTAAGTAATTTTACTAGTGTACTTAGTGTTTATTAAGATAGTTTTATCCTTAGTCCTCTTGTTAATAGCCTCTTAGACTACTTCTATTATTAGGTGTTATTACTTCTTAACTATAGTAATAATCTTAAGGTTTTTCTTTAGTAAGGTTTTATTAAGTACTGCTTATTAGTAAGTGTTTCTTATTATTATTATCTTTTTTTTAAGGCGTTCTTTAATTATATTAAGTTTAAGGGTATTAAGTGTATCTTATAGCTTCTTAAAGGTTATATCTTATATTATTATAAAGGCTATAATAATATTCTAGTTTTTTTTTTCTTATTAGGCTTTTTTCTTCCTATAGATGCGTTTTTTACCTTTAGCTCCTTAGAATACTATTTTGCCTATTTTTTACTGTCCTAGTGTATAGTGTAAGTGTTATTATAGTAGGTAGTCTAGGTTAATTATTAATAAGGGACTTCCTTAGTAGCTATATTAGCTTTCTTAGTGTACTTTAGTAAGGTTTTATATTAGAGTTATTTAGGTTACTTATAGTCTTATATATAGTAACTAGTCTTTTTATAGTTAAAGTATTTAATAGTCTTAGGGTTATATAGTAGTTATTAGTCTTACTTATATACTATACTTATATTTATTAGTCTAGTATAGTGCCCCTAAGATATACTTATTTAGTTATTATAAGGTCTCTATTACTTATTTAGTGCTTTATTTTACTAACCTAGTAGCTTTAGTCCTTAGGTATACTTTTTACCTATATTTATATTAAGTTATTTTATTTTTTTTTTCTTTTATTATTATTTATATAGTTAAGTATTAATTTTAATAATAAGTTTAATATATAATAAGAAGTCTTTAAAAAGGTTTATAATCTTAACTAATTTATCTTTAATATCTTTCTTAAGTCCTTAGTAAAATATAAAGATTAAGGATTCTTAAGTAATATTAAGTTTAGTAGTAAGTCTTTAGAATTTAGCTATATAGTATAAAGTAACCTTAGTCTATCTTAGGTTAAATAGTTTTTACTTAGCTTATTACTTTTTATTAGGGTCTTAGAATAATAATAGTAGCACTTTCTTAAACCTAGAGTATTTATAAAAAATCTCTTAGGTTTTTATCTTTAAGCCTACCTAGTTATTTATTATATAGTCTATTAGGTAAAGTTTAAACTAGGCTAATACTTTTCTCTTAAGAAATAAGGTAGTATAAATAACTTTTTTAGGTTTATCTCTAAAGCTAACGTTATAGAACTAATAGTATACTTAGACTTAAGTAAAGAATTCTTTTAAGTGTCCTAAGGTTCTATTAAATAGCTATAGATTATTAAGTCTAAGCTTATCTTAACTATTAACTAAGGTCTAGATAATATTAGTAGTGCCTTAGAGGGTTTTAATAGTCTCCTTAAGTTCTTATATCTTAGTTAAAGGTTCTTTAGGGATAGCTTTCTCTAAATACTCTAGTTTAACTATATTACTATTAATAACTTTAATAAGTTATTAGTTATATCTAGTGTTTCTCTTAATTATTCCTTAAATTATAAGGTACTAATCTATAGTAAGAATAGCCTTATTATCTTTATTAAATCTTAGATTAGGTAAAATAGATCTATTATTAATCTCTATAATATCCTTAAGTTTCTTATCTAAAGAATACTAGGACTTAGGGGTACTTATTAAAGGTGTATTCTTAAAGCTTAATATAGTATCTTTATTATTAGGTAAATATTAAGGTTAACTTACTTAATAAAAGTAATTAAAGTGTTATAGTTAGTAATCTAATAGTAAGGTTTTTACTAAGAATAAGCTAAGGTTAATACTTAGTTAATAGTAGTATAGGCTTACTAGTCTATTAATTACTTAATAATTAGTTAAGTAGTTAATAGTTATAAAGGTAGCTTATATAGCTTTTATTAATTAAATCTCTAAGGTTAAATACTAAAAGTTATTTAAATAAATTATATTATAAAAAGTTAATTACTAAAAAGCTATAAGAGTCTATTCTTAAGTGTATTTAAGTTTATTTTATATATAAGTTTTATTTTTTTTATTAGTATATAAGGCTATATATCTAAACTATAGCACCTGTATATTTTCTGTATAGCGCCTATATACTAAGTATACAGCTTCTGTATTTCTAATATATAGATCTTATCTAATCTTATTATTATATAACTTATACTATAGTTCTTCTGTGTCTATAGGAGTCATCCTGTCTACGCCTATCTGTTAGTTCTGTACAAATGCTGTTGCTGCCCACTGGTCGCTCTACCAAGTGGGGCAACATCGCCTGTAACTTGTTAGGTTATAACAAAAGGAGTCTATAAATAGTGTAGTTAGGGGTTAATTATAACTATTTTTTAATCTACTTTCTCCTAATTCTCTTGTTCTTATAAACTCTGCTTTTGTGTAACCTTTGGATGATAGTTTTCCTAGTTGTGGCCTTACAGCTGGTGGTCCCCTGGTGCCCCCCACCTCTGGCACCTGACACAAGCATCGTCAGGAAGTGTAGTGATATTTGCGCAGAAGGCAACGTTGGAATGAAACGTAAGGATACACACGAAGGTAAACAAGCCTGCCGGTATCCGGTGAATCGATTCGCTCGACGAAAAATGGGGAAGGAAATTGGATAAAACTTCGTTGAGATTCCAGGTGGGCTGGCTAAAATAGTCTGGAGACTGAGCCTACTGCTTGTTATGTTCTGGCCCTCGAGACGTATGCTTTTTTGATACGTATGCGGTAGGCGGCGACACGTGCTCCGTTTGGCGAAGAACCGGTTTACGTTGCTAGGCATCTCCGTTAGTTCGATGCGGTCCGCAGATGTCCGACCTCAAAGAACTGGGAATTTCAGCCAACCGACACTAACTCTACCTCGGCCAGCCACAGCTGTTGTGGCGGTGGTCCAACAGGATGAAGTGGCAAATGGGTAGTACATCAAGTAACGGCGAGCGCTATCAGTTCATCAAATCCAATGGAACTACCTTGCTCGTTTGCAAAAATGATATTTATTGATTCCGATGTACAGCTCTCTCAGTTAGATAGGGCCAAGCAGGCGTCGACGGCCTGTCCAACTCTCCCCTGCTTCTGATACACCACGTCGGAGATAATCTCCCTGTCGAGGTCGGGAAACATGCCCGCAAGCGTCTCGACGACATTGTTATGCTCTGCCCTGCTGAGACGTTGCGCCTCGGCAACCTCGGCGCTAGCCTGCCTGGCCGCAGCCTCTTCCGCCGACAAATGGGGCCGGGAGGCGGGCTGCTGCCCATCCGGCGGTATTTCCATGCTTAGTCGAGGGGACAATCGTTCGGGAGGTCCTGGCGGCCTTGACGCACTGCTAGGGACGGGCGGCGGCGCAGGCGATGGCTCGTCGGAGAACATGCGCCCAATAGTGCTGAGCGGTTTTTGTATTGATCGAAGGAGGCCGGTGATCGGGGCTTGATCTTCGACATCTCTGCTGCCTTCGTTCGACGACGTTGAGCGGCGCGGGGTAGAAGATTCTCCCATCATGTCTAAAGAAGGTCGTCCGGAAGACTCTCCTTGCTGGAAGCCCATTTTCTCTGAGAAGACGGGCTCCTGCGCGACCGCCGGTGAGTCGAGGCGGTGCCTTTCTGCTATTGCAGACACAGCTGCCTCGACGTTCTTTTCAAATTCCTCATCCGTGATCGTTAGGGTTGTCCTGTCCATGTTCTCAATGAATTGAATAGCACCCATCTGTGACAGGTCAGCATGTGTCATAAAGACCGCGTTGGAGAAAACGCTTACCAGAGATGAAAGGTAGTACCCTGCCTCGCCGCCGAGTTTCTCCTGATTCCGGAAGCGCAGGATATACTGGACGTTGGAAACTAGATGCTCGGGGTTGGCCTGCAGAACGACGTAAATCAAAAGTGGCATGAACGAGTCGGCTGATGAGTCTGATTTGGAGTGCTTGAGAAGCCCTGATGCTGGTTAGTTCACCGAAGGAACGGCCAGTATTGCGGCAGGTAAGACTAACCGAAGATGACTTTACAACAGTTGAGCACACAAATTATCTTGTCTCGTGGCGCCCGATAAGACTTGATCTTGAGAAGTTCTACGACACATCAGGAAAGGCCCAAAACGTCTCGCAGACTGATGACTGACTCACCTTGTTGCGCGAGCTTGAGGAACCGCGTCCCGCTGTCACCGGTAGGCGGGATGTCCAAATGCTCCTCCCTGAGCCAAGCGTAAATGTTGATCTTTTGCGTCAGGATGTCATCCCGTTCCACATCTTCTTGATGCTGCCCACGTCGGCCAGGTCCCATGGGTCGCTCACCACCTCGCCGTTTCGGTTTCGCACCGGGAATGGGCTGCGGCGGAGGAATAGCGGGCGAGAAAGTTTGCGTGTACAGCCGGTTCATGACCAGCTTCTCCATGCCTTCCCGAGCGTTGTCAAACTCGGCATCGGAAACATCTCTCCACACTTCACATTGAGCCATCTTGTTGGCAATAAAGGCCAAGAAGTCACTGATGATCTTGACTTGCTCATGCACCATCCACTGGCGTTTCCCAAATTCGGACAAAAAGGACTTCAAGTATCTGGCAACTGGGTCTGCTTTCTTGTTCCGTAATTGCTCCAGGAAGCGGTGGAAGTCGAAAGGCAATGCTGGTTCGGGTTCGGGCTCGGGGGGTGGCGGTCGGTGGATGGGTAAACCAGGAGACATTTGAGAATCCGTGCTCATATGTCTGTCGTCATGAGAACGCGAAGGAGTCGCGGGCGGTCCATCTTTTGGCGGCACAGGAGGACCTTGGTCATCGGAGGCTCGCTCCCGAGAAAGCATGCTGACAGGAGATGCCGAGTGTATCCTCAGGCCCTGAAGTTCTTGAACCTGGTGGGACAGTGACGGGACCAGCGGGTCGAGACTGGACTTCCGTGGAGGATGGTGGATGCCAGGGCTGCCCAGCATGGGCGATGCGATCTCCAACCTCGGACTCATAACCTCTTCAGCGCCAGGGCCCCCACCATCCCCGGTGAATTGCTCCATGATGCTCTGAATCTCTGACCGAGATCCATTCTCCTGCTCGTCTTCGCTTGCGTATCTGCGCTCGTCGTAGCCGGCGTCGGATGTTGTCGGGGATGCTTCGGACGATGAGCGGCGTTTGGTAGCGTAGGACGGGGTTCGAGAAGGAGGCTGTGATGTCCTGGGGGTGGGAGGTGTTGGGTCAACGTATGTGGTGGACTCGATCGTGAGATACTGGGTGGTAGTCTCGGCAGGCAGAGGACTCGTAGGCTTAAGCGTAGCGATGGACGAGGTCATGGGCTCCAGGTTGCTTTCTGAGGCTGGTGCGAAGGCGGCCTGGCTTGATTGTAGCGCAGATTTGCTGTCCAAGTTGGCGGCAGGCTTCGTCCCGGACGTCGGCTCGAGGTCATCGTCGCCAAAGTCGATCAAATCGCCCGTCGCTTGTTGCTTGCCTGCCGCTTTGGCGGACAGTACTGGTTTGCTTTGCTGCCCCTGCTGGTTGTCGAGCTCAGGAGGCTCCGTTTCAGCCTTCGACCCCGCGTTCTTGGTGCCCGTCACCGGGACAGTGTCGGAGCCATGTTTGGTGTCGCCAGATAGGCTGGAAGAGTGATTTGTGGGATCTGTGGAAGACATACACCACAGATCTGATCCAGTAGGGCCGAATCGAAGAGTCGAGAGCTCCCAACTAAGGCGAGCGACGAAAGTTGCGATCGGGTGGTGGGGGGCCAAGGCTCGAGCTTATCAAAAGGCGGAGGGGAAACCGGTTGCTGATATGCAGATGCGACTGGTTGACTAGGAAAAGTGGCAGGGACTTCAAAATACGGAGAGAGAACGAATGGAGAGAGTGTCCAAGCCGTAGGTGAGAGCAGAAATGCAGAGGTTATCGAATTGTTGCCTAGAGCTATCGCGGAAACTGGATCAGCAGGGCAACGATGGGTTGTCCGTGTGACGACGGGAAGGCTGAGAAAGTGTGGCGGGCAGCGATGGAGATCCCCACAATTCGTGGGGGGTGCTGGGTGGCGGGTGAGTGGTGGCCTGGGCTTACTGCGGCAAGTCGTAGGCCAGAGTTTTGCCGAATCCAAGGGTCCCCGATGCAGCGGCGATGTGATGGGAACGACGTCACTCGCCGAGCGTCGATAGGGTGGGTCCGGCACACGGCCAATGTATAGACCGACGGGGTGGGTCTCTCTCACGTGACCTTTCCTCCGTCACCCATGGTCTTACTCTTTGCAAAGCCGTTTTATTGCAAGAATCCGTTGTTTTATTACTATTGCATAACTAGTGCGAACAAGACACCAAAAAGAACCGCTAGCATAATCGGATAGATGTTACCGGAAAGTGCCATTGATCCATTTACGGTGACGAATACTTCAACCCACTAATCCGTAACCGTTGCCGTTTTCTTCCGTAAAAAGCCGTGCATGGTTCCCCTGAAAAGGACGTTTAACGTCCCCCCCCCACACTTGCCGTCAGAGGACCTACTGCATCCCTTAAACGGGCCACTGCATGTCTTGACTGCCGGTGGTTTCACCCACCCCGGCACGGCTCCCTATGTACTCTCCACTAGTCCGTTCTTGTCTCAGCCTCTCTCGAATATTGACAGGGGCTTATCCGTACCGGTAGTCTCTTCCCCAATTGTACGATCTTGGGCCATCGGGGAACATCATGCTGCCGACTCTTTTTATGCCTTTAGAAACGCTGCTCCACAGCCAAACGAGAGAACCTCGGATTTCTTTGCACCCCCGCTTGATAAAAGCGAACCGATCATATGGGGGGCTTCGGATCGCCTCAGGGAAGAGTTGCTGGAGACCGTCAGCACATATTTCTTATTCTCCTGTCACTTGTCACATCACAATACCTTCAGCTACTATGAATGCTGCAAGAACGTTAATCACCCCACACATAATTTAATCTAGAATACTGGGACATGCCGCGTGCCCTATTGCTGCTTTGTGTTGCCGTCCGGTCGACGTCCTTCCAAATAACCCTCTGATGGCTGCCGCTCCGCGCTCGGTCCTTTGACGAGTGTCAACCTGCCAGAACGTCCGACCGCTTGCCCCCTGGATAAGTAATTCCCGGTTCACGAGTCAATTGCTGTGCGCCACACCAAATGCCAGACCATAGACGGCGGCACAGGGTCCTAGTTATCAAGACGAGACATGGCTACTCGACATGTTCCACACTACTGTGTAAGGCGGCTTGTGTCTTCGGCCCCTATCCCTGTTCAGGAGTATCTTTTTGGCAGCACTTTATTGTGTCGACACTCATCTGAAGTTTCAGGCTGGAACTCGTAGAATGTATACCGTTCAACTCAGATTGAAGCCGCTAATCTAGAGACACCGTTGCAACCCAACTTAAAGCCGCCAGACGAGACATCGTCATAACTCGCAAGCCGACCTCTTATCGACAAGCGCCGTCCTTTTCTACGGGGTTGTTCCTGGCTGACTGACGGGCAATTACTCTAATTCGTACTTCTTGCGAAGCGGCGAAGCCAGGCTTCCTGGAGGATCACAGAAAGCTAGCAGCTGCCTATGAAGACAGAGCCCAGCATCGTTGCATGTTAGTTAGCCGTTTTACTTTGTTAGCTCGGCCTATGCTTCCGGGGCATTCTAGCTTTCCTAGCCTAATGCTCTAACTCTGGCAGCTGCCAGCGTAACTATCAGACCGTATACAATGTACTACGCACAGCCGTATGGTCTGTCCGCCTCAAGCCGTTAGGATAAAACTTCACGGGTGATTATGGGTCAACCAAGCATCGTTGATCCTGGCTCGTTTTCTAACGAAACGCCACCCGCCCTTGTCTAACCGGCTCCCTTAGAAAGAGGCTTTTCACTGTATCATATGAACAGGTGCTCGCCCGGTCCGTGGAACTATTCATTCCGCTCTTAGGATCTCCGATAAACGACACTCAGACGTAGGGGACCACCCAGACAATTTGACCTTGCCGCGTGGGCTACCCAGTGGCTTGGCTCTCATGTCCCAAAAGAGACAAACTTGCGATTCGGACCGTTCCCCATTCAGTCAGCGCCTTGAGATCCATATTCCCCTCCAACACGAGAGCCGGCTTGTTGGGCCAAGGGTGACTTGTTTGGCAGTGAAGCGGCCTTCCTGGCCGTCTTTTCCATTTGGAGAGACGCGATTGGTTGATCTGTATTAGACCTGCGGCACAGGTTTGTTTGCCTAGGGGAACAAACACCAAGGTATTGATCCGTCAGCTGTTCTTCATGTCAATACTCGCCGGACCGCGTGAGTTGACGTGGGTAAGCCGTAGTATAAAGGTTGCTGTAAGTCTTCTCTGGGATTGCACTCATCTCATCGTTATTCGCACATCACATTCGACACAGCAGCCAGCTCGTCCATCAGCTTAAGCCCAACAGGCAGTCATTCATTCTCGCGATACTATTCACTCTGCTCTGGGAGCACCCCACCTTCTTTTTACAGTTTCAATACGTCTTCCATTCTCCAGTCACGATGAAGTTCCTCAACATCCTCGCACTCGCGTCCGTTACGGCCGCCTTTCCCACGCTCTCCGAGACTTCCGTTAACGAGGTTGACGTCCGCGAACTCGAAGACCGCGAGATCGGCGGCGTGGGCACCACTGCCAAAGAGTTCACTCAGGGCGGCTGCAAAGATGTCATCATGCTTTTTGCCCGCGGGTCGACCGAGATCGGCAACATGGGCGCCGTCTGCGGCCCTCCTACAGCCAACAATGTCAAGGCCAAATTCCAGAGCGTGGCCGTCGAGGGCGTCGACTATGCGGCCGGCCTGGCGACCAACGCGCTGCCTGGCGGCGCAGACCCCCGAGGCATCGCCGAGATGAAGCGGCTCATCGCCAAGGCCAACTCCGAGTGCCCTAACTCCAAGCTCGTTGTCGGCGGTTACAGTCAGGGGGCGGCACTCACCCACCGCGCCGTTGAGAACCTCCCCCAGGCCCAGAAGGACCAGATCGTCGCGGCATTCACTTTCGGAGACACGCAGAACACCCAGGACAAGGGCCAGATTCCCAACTTTCCCAAGGAGAAGACCAAGATCATCTGCGCCACGGGCGACGCCGTCTGCAAGGGCACGCTCGTCGTCCTTCCCGCCCACTTGTCGTACGGCAGAAATGCCGGTGAGATGGCCGACTTCATCTCACAGAAGCTCACGGCTGCCGGTGTCAAGAGGCGCTAGTAAGTGGCATCTCGAGCGGGCGGTTGTGAGGCGGGACGGCAGACGTCAATTTGTCGTCATGGAGAAAATGAAGCTTGTAGTTCGCCGTTCTTTCTTCTCTTACTTGTTTCTCTCAGCGGGCCTGAAGAGATTATCCACTGCCTTGGCTCACCGTTCATGATCTGCGAACCGGATGATCGTGTCTCAGACGGTGAAATACATAAGGCATTGCCCAGTATCTCAATCTTCGAGAAGCAGGCAGCATTGTTGTTATATCATCATTATTATCATCATTATTATGTATATATCTATGTATATGTCAGTCGTTATGTAAATAGGAACTTTCTAAGGGTATTCTCCTCAATCTGCAATTTTTCTTCTTTTTACATTTTTTACCTTTTAGGTGATTGTCTTCTCCACTACGGAGTACCTAGCCTTGAGCTCATGCCGGTAGTAAAGGGTGTCTGCCGTTTTGGGATTCGAGGGGCCTGGACGGCGATCAAACTGGAGTCACTCGATTCATAAATACAGTAGAGCACCTACGTAGGCTCATGCCGTGTCCCTGTGACAGTAGGTGATTGGGAGCCCGGTGTGTAGGGTATCCTAGAGGGGTTTTATTCCGGTTTGTGCGGAAGAAGGGAGCACAGCCGGGTTGTGTACGGTGCCTAAACAGTCAATTGGCACGGCTCTTCAAGTTCTGGTAAATCTCTGTTTGCGGCGCACTACCCGGGGGTAACTTAGTCAGCGCTGTGAGCTAAATACCCCCTCCTCACGGAAAGGGGGTGTTTAGCTTTGACGAAGGCTGACTAACACCCCCGGGTATACCTTATTCTCTCTCTACCCACGATACGGATACGATGCCCTTCCTCGCCTTTCGTCCCATTTCGATTGGTTTTGTCATCACACGACAGACGAGACGGTGGCGCCGCACCCATCATCATCATGCGACAAACACCTCGACCGGATGAATTCATGCCGACGACGACTGGATGTCGAGGATATCTGGTCTTCTCATACGTATGTGCGATACTCCACCAAGCTGCAACGCAACATTGCGACATGGCATCTTGCCTGCTTAGCTTCCTCCCAGTCTTTCCCGCGTATGACTGTTGTGGTAGAGGAATTGGAGGCAGACTGCAGGGGGGGTGTTGGTGACCAAAGTACAACACCAGATGGCATTCGCATCCGCGTCTTGGGCGCCGTCTTTCGAGACCAGGGATGCATTTACTGCGACCGATGGGAACATGAATCTTGTCCAAGTACGAGCCTTTTATCGCGCCGGCGACATCCTCTCTGCTCCGATGCTGCATTCACGTCCGATGATGAGAGCCGGAGCGAATCCAAATTTGGCAACTATCCGGCGCTATTGTGGCAATGAAGCAACGGTATTCGGCAGTTTCTCCGAAGCCAATCACTACCAGGGTCTCGACGCTAAGAATAGCCCGTCGTTCTTTGGCGTCGTCGTGGAAGGCCGCAGACCGTTAAGCTGTGGATCATCATCGCACCGCATGTTGGAGAAGATCTGGCTGTCGGCTTGCGTCAGACAACAGCGTTGAACCTTAGCTGAACCTCGGGAAACCTTCTGTCGACCTCACCAGAGACCACGTCGCCGCCTCCGCACTGAATCGACACCTCGCACTGACAAGCGTCACAATGACCGGCAACCCAATAGCGAGAACCCGGCCAGTTGAGCCCACCGCGCGTGGAGACATCGATACGGGCAGTGGCCTCCATGGGGCATCTGCCCGCTAATGCAGTGTTTTCTGCCCTGAACCTGATCAACATCTGCAGCAACAGGTTGCCGTGGTTGAGTCTGCAGCTTTAATTAATCTCGCCAAGAAACCTTGGCAATCCACCGCGCGCGAGGGTGCAGGTCAGCAATGACGAACTCAGTGCCCGCTCTTTTCTGCTCCGTCACCTCGTTCTTCACAGGTCTTCTCTTCCCTGTCATCAACAGCCCGCGGAACGGTAGAATGGCGTTGCAAATGGTTTCTTTGCACGTCCAGTCTCACTGAAGCACCAGGAGACTTCGATCGCTGCGCCGAGTCTGCTCCGCCGCTGCTCGACTCGCGCAGATTCCAGATCGATGCGACCGCTCGTTTAAAGTCGGAAATGTTCCTCCCCGCGAGACCGAACTCGCGCAATTGTCACTCGCTCGACTCATGTCGCTACCATGAACGAAAAACCGACGCACAACGCGCCACCGGCCGTTACGCCGCCTGAAGCCGACAGCAGGCTTGGCAAGACGCGATTATCCGACATCGTCTTAAGACGCGATGCGGTCGCGTGGTGCAAAAGCATTTTCTACGAAGTGGTGCTGGGTCGCAAGACACTTCCGCCCTCCAAGAACGGCCGTCGGATCCCTCTGCGTCTGAACCAAGATGCGCCTTTGACCGACGAGCGCCGAGGCGGCCACCCCTACGTGTCCAATGCCATCCGAACCTCGCGGTACACCTTGTACGATTTCGTTCCAAAGCAGCTGTTGTTTCAGTTTTCCCGAATCGGCAATTTCTACTTCCTCTGCGTGGGTGTGCCACAGACAATACCCGGCATCTCGACGACTGGAAACTTTACGACTATTTTACCACTGCTCTTCTTCGTGTTGGTAACAATCGCGAAAGAGGGATACGATGATTTCAAGCGGCACCGGCTCGACAAGGTGGAGAATGCGCAAACAGCACACGTGCTCAAGCATTCGAAAAATGGTAGCACAGTCATGCAAAGTTGGCCATCCAAGCTTGGCGGATTGTCCAGAATGAATCAAAATTCGTCTGAAACCAATTCTGGAGAAGGACCTTGGACAATGACCAAATGGCGTGATATTGAGGTCGGAGATCTCATCAAGCTATCAAGAGATGACCCAGTCCCGGCAGACATCATACTGCTCCACGCCAACGGGGAAAATGACCTGGCTTACATCGAAACGATGGCCCTTGACGGCGAGACCAGCCTCAAGAGCAAGCGAACATCGGCAGCGTTGAAAGGTTATGACACGCTTGAGAAGATCATCGCGTCCAATGCTGAATTCGTCGTCGAGGACCCGAATCCTGATCTCTACAAGTTCGATGGGAAGATCACTGTCGACGGCAAGTCACTGCCACTCACCTCTAACGAAGTCGTCTACCGCGGCAGCATCTTGAGGAACACCGGATCCGCCATCGGCATTGTTATCAACACTGGCGAGGAAAGCAAAATCCGGATGAATGCCAATCAACATCCCAAAGCGAAAAAGCCGGCGCTGGAAATCGTATCCAACAAGATTGTTATCACCCTCGCCATCTACGTCATTGTTCTGTCTATTGGCTGCTCTATGGGATATCTCATGTGGCAGAGGTCGCAGGAGCGAAGAACGTGGTATCTCAAAGATGCCCAAGTCAAGTTCTATGAAATCCTCATCGGCTTTATCATTCAGTTTAACAATGTCATTCCCCTGGCGCTATATATCAGTCTTGAGATTGTCAAAGTCGGGCAGCTATTCATGCTCAATTCTGATGTTGAGATGTACCACGCCGAGACAGACACGCCTGCGCGATGCAACACCAATACAATTCTCGAAAATCTAGGTCAAGTGGGATACGTATTTACCGACAAGACGGGTACGTTGACTGAGAACGTCATGAAGTTTCGAAAATTAAGCATTGCGGGCACAGCTTGGCTCCATCAACCCGACGTTGACCTGGAGGCCGAGGATGGAGCGAACAGTTCCGCTGAGACGCTTTCCGTGGCCAAAGGAGGCCGCCAAGTTTCGACTCAGCACAACAGAACCGATGCTGATGTCGATTATAACATCCAGTCGCCTACGTCTCTTGGAAGGCCATCCATGGCGCGCTCCCGCGCCCCGTCCACACGGCGGTCCTCCTCCCAGTGGCGCTCTACGGGTCGCCCAGACCATGTGCAACCGGATGTTACTACTAAAGAGCTCTTGGAATTCATCGGGTTGAGACCCCATTCCCTTTTTGCCAGACGAGCCAAAGATTACATCCTGGCTATGGCTCTCTGCCACACTTGTCTCCCGGAGATTCGCAACGGCAAGATTGAATACCAGTCTTCGTCACCCGACGAACTGGCAATCGTTCGAGCAGCGCAGGAACTCGGATACACCGTCGTCTCTCGGACGTCCTCAGGTGTTACATTACGGCTCACATCTGATGCTGCCAGCCCTGAGAAGGACATGACGTTCGAGATTCTGGACGTTGTTGAGTTCAGCAGCCACCGAAAGAGGATGTCCATTGTTGTGCGGTACCCCGATGGACGTATCTGCATCATTTGCAAAGGTGCCGATTCGGTTATCCTTCCAAGGCTCAAGCTGGCCAATCTGGCTTTGCAAAAGGCCCAGGATGTTCGAAAAAGTGCGGACTTGGAACATGAGCTTCTTCGAAAGAGCGAACAACAAGAGCCGAGAATCAGTGTCAGCGGCCGTGCAAGCATGTCTTTACGAAGAAGCATCGGCATTGCACGCAATTCTCCAGGGCCGAGTACGAGACCTCATGCGGACCGTAGCCGGTCTTTCGAGGCAAGCAAAATGAGAAAATCGGGCGATCTCCTTCGACCTTCGATTAACGTCCGCACTGCCTCGTATGAGGCTTCGCCAGCCTCTCCCTCGACTAACCATCATACCCCCGAGAAGTTCGCTTTCCTCGATGACCCCGCCATCGCCGACGATTCGGCTATTTTTACACGATGTTTCAAACATATCGACGACTTTGCGACCGAAGGCCTCCGCACGCTGCTTTTCGCCCAGAAGTTCATCTCGGAGCAAGATTACCGCACGTGGAAACAAACATTCGATGATGCTGCAACTAGCTTGACCGACCGTCAGGAAAAGATTGAGGCTGCAGCCGAGATCATTGAGCAGTCTTTCAACCTTGTCGGCGCATCTGCGATTGAAGATAAGCTTCAAGAGAGTGTGCCAGAGACTATCGACAAACTTCGACGGGCAAATATCAAGATCTGGATGTTGACCGGCGACAAGCGCGAGACAGCCATCAATATTGCCCATTCGGCCCGCATCTGCCAGCCCGTGTCCGACCTGTTCACTCTTGATGTTACCAAGGGAGACCTTCGCGGCCAGATGGCGGCGTTATCTGAAGACCTGCACTCCGGTTCTGTCCACAGCGTTGTCGTCATCGACGGGCAGTCCTTGGCTTCCATTGAGACGTCGCCCGACTTGACAGCCCAGTTCTACTCGGTTGTGCCCTTCGTCGACTCCGTTATCTGCTGCCGCGCCTCGCCTGCGCAGAAGGCTCTTATGGTAAAGACCGTTCGGTCCCAGCTTCGTAAGCTGAAAGGCCGCATGGGTCACGGACTAACCCTTGCGATTGGTGACGGCGCCAATGATTTGGCCATGATCTCTGCCAGCCACGTCGGCGTCGGCATCTCAGGGAAAGAGGGCCTGCAGGCTGCTCGAGTAGCTGACTACGCTATAGCCCAATTCCGATACTTGCAGCGTTTACTTCTGGTGCATGGCCGATGGAATTATGTACGGACCGCCAAGTTCATTCTTTGCACTTTCTGGAAGGAGATGTTCTTTTACCTTCCCACTGCCATGTACCAGCGCTACAACGGATACACGGGTACTTCGCTCTACGAGTCGGCCAGCTTGACTGTCTTCAACACCCTGTTCACCAGTCTCTGCGTCATCTGCATGGGTGTCTGGGAGCAGGACCTCAGCGCTGACACCCTGCTTGCAGTCCCAGAGCTGTACATGTATGGTCAACGAAACATGGGACTGAATCTGGCCAGATACACTGCCTGGATGTTTTCAGGAGCGTGTCAGGGTGTGCTGGCGTATTGGGGCGTCTGGGCGGGATACGTTTGGTTTGCCCGCTCTAGCGACCAGGGCCTCTTTGCCGTTGGCAACCTTTCATTTAGTTTGGGTGTTATTTGGATCAACTATAAGTGCTTGTAAGTACCTGATATTGGATCTGGTTCTAACATGATCGAAGACTGATTGTGTTGCAGCATCCTTGAAACGCACCACAAGTCAGCCATCGTAATGGCATCCTTCCTTATCACTTTCTCCGGATGGTGGGCGTGGAATGGTTTCCTTTCGTCCATCTACGCACCTGCCCCGTCGCCTTATTCCGTACGGGACGGGTTTTCAAAGACATTTGGCGCGGACTGGGCGTGGTGGCTGACACTCATCATCATGATCACCACTTTCGTTCTCATGGAGACAATCTTCCGCACATTGCAAAGGACCTTAATCTTAGCGGGGCTGTGGAGGTGGCCTTGGGTTCGTAAGGAAGACGACGTGTGTTCTGAAGAATGGCGGCTGGAGTTGTGGCAGGAGTTGGAACAAGATCCGCTTGTGAGGCAGAGGTTGAGGAAGTTGGCAAGGGACGAAGACGAGGACGAGGATGAAGGCGAGGTCGATGAGCCACGCGATGACGAGGTGGATCACAGTGTTCGTTTGGAAAGAGCGGATTAATTCTTTTCTTTGCACGAGATACCCATTTTGTTCACATACAGCCTGAAATGCCTCATTTTGTTGTTCCAACACATGTCTCGTCTACGTATGTCATGGTATGTTATCATGGGTGTACTGGGCCTCTTAAGATGTTGTCCTAGTTGTGGTCTTCACCTTTGTGTCGGCGAGCGCGGCGACTTTTTGGCTGTAGCCCGTCTCTCTAGGTTCGTCAGAAGTGCTCCTGTAAAGGTTTCTAGAGCTGGTCCTGGGATTTACAGTCGCATGCGGGCATAGTCAGAGTTGTCCCAAGTATGCCAAATAGGTCATTGTATCATCCACCGAGGCAACAAACAGAATCACCATTGACAGGGAATACCGTTTGGAAGCACTAGCTGTTGTCTTCTGGGAAGAAAGCAAGCACGGGGCTAAGGTAATCCCGGTACATATGCTGCTTTCCTTCACTGTCCGAACCAGCCCCTTGGGAAGCCCAATCTTCGCCATTCGCGAGGTCCAGATCCACCGGACCAAGTCGATACCCGCCCTTTCGATACTCCCGATAGGCTTTCACAGCCCCCGCAGCTGTGATCAGAAGCCTTACGCCGTAAAAGAGCGCCGCGAGGATCGATATCGCAAAGCTGGCCTGGGCAACCCGGCAAGACGTCGCCACGTGACTCCGACAGCTGCGCGTCAGGTACCATGGACGAGGGCTCGGGTGCTCGGGGTCTGAAAAGTCGCCCGACGCCTGCGATTCGATGCTGTGGAGCCAGAAGAAGACGAGCAAGGCGTCGTAGATCAGCGAGACGGTCCGAGACATGTGGCCAAAATATGCCATGGTCACCCGGGCTGCCAGGAGGACCAGGGATAGCAGAGCAACGGCGAGCGTGGCGTCGGTGAGACTGAGGGTCGGGGGATGTCAGCCACGCTTTATTGAGATACATTTGCACCTAAGTGAGATGGGAAAGAGCAGGGTGTCTTTACCTCTGTGACCAGATCAACGGGATCTCGGGCGGTTCTTCGTAGTTCGCGTAGAAATATATCCGAAGGTTCGGGTTCGAATTCCAACCCTCAATACCTCCATGTTCCCAGAGCTTCTCTCGGAAGTTTCCGGAAGACGCCGACCAGAAGAGGCCAACAGCCATGGTGGAAATGCATAAATCCCCCACGAGGAGTAGCTTCTCGGCGATCTTTGTCTCCATGTCCGTGTGCGGCGTCGTCGAAAAGCAATGACTCGGGGCTTTGAGTTTTGAGATTTTTAGCTCGGCCGCTCTCGCACGTGTATTATATCTATATCTCGTTTAGTTTCTCTGAGCATTTTGAGGGGGTTTCGTGGCTGCCTTAGGACGGTTGCGTCTGTTGTGTAGGCGAAGGGGGCGAAACTTGCTCATATTGGCGCAGTAGATGCGGCGACGCCGCCCACCGTGGCTCAATCACTGAGTTATGTGGGCTCGTTGTAACTTAAATGTTGTCACGTCAGGATCACTATTTCTTGGAGTGGCCGTATTTCGCCCGTGTTAGTTGCTGTCTACAATTGAATGATACCTTGGCCTGATGTTTCTTCTCTTTCTTCCCAGAACCCGTCTCAACTGGTTCACCGTCTCTAGACGCAATTTGATACTTTGTTTATTTTTTCTATTGCTTCAACAATATCATCGATGATGATGATGATAGACAGACTGCTTCTCAAAGTTCAAGAGACATCAATTTTGAGCATTGAATATCACACGCACTTGTTACCCTTCTTGGCAACCATACCCGTCCAATTATACCTAGTGCTCCTTAAGAGCAAATATGCGCAGGTTGAAACCGCGATCGCTGTAATTCAAGCCGCATTTTGCGTAGTGCATCGGTTAGGGAATGTGAAACTAATGAATTATTGTATTGTTTGTACCTTTGCTTTACAATCTATTATCACCTCAAGCCGATCTGTGTAGAAAATTGACTCATATCGGAACCTGCGGGCATCACAGAGCATCCACTTCACGCCGGACCAGAGTCCATCGGCAGTCTTCGCATACTAAGATTAAAAATATCGTTGGGTATCCTCCACATTGGTCCAGTGCCTCACAAGCTCTTCTCGGGTTCCATCGTCGTTACTCACACTCGCGTGGGCAGTGTCCTAATCCTGCTCCACCTCCTTGCTCTACGACCGGACTTTGTGGCCCCGAACCCCTTGTCTTTGCCTCCAAGATATCCTTCGCGCCGAGCCGGGCAGGCTGCACTCGAAGAAGCAGTTTCATAGGCTCGTAAAGATGTATCATCCTGATCCCCACTCCCTGAACGAGAACGTCCTAGACGCTGTACCACGAGCAACCCGGACTGAACGCTACCGCCTTATCGTCGCGGCCAGTGAAATCCTTAGCAATCCATAGAAGCTGTTTCCATATGGGAGCTACGATTTGGACTGGATATTGCTAGAGCAAGAAAAGGCGTCTTACTCCTAGTAATCGGCAGTGACCTATCGCACAAATGACAGCCAGCCGTTCGGCCAGGCCGGATAAAGGCAGCAGATCCCACTATTCGCACCCAACGCAACGTATGCTATAATCTCGTTGCAATATCACTGTCTGATGCCATCGTGCAACTTGAACGAGCTCGCAGAGCTCAGTAGGATTTCAAGACGCGAGATAAGGCCTTGCAGATTCAATTATCAGATACCTTCAGAAACTGGCCATCCAGCTTGAAGGCAAGCCAAGGTACATGAGACTATTAGAGTTCTTGATGAAAGCAAAGAGAGAACTTGGACGCTGGAAAAGAGAGGACGCCGCAATAGTAGGGTTTGACCCAGGTGATGATATTTGCCGCCACTGATTGCCGGGAGAAATGGGAGTCACAACTCGAAGATCGAATTATCAGGTCCACAGCAGTGAGTACATGGTATTAGTTTCATCCTGGATTGCCTTTATCTAAGTATGTAGGCTGTCTGGAATGAAACGCGCAGTAATTGTATAGTATCCGAGGTCGTTCAATGAACTGGTTAGGGTTCGAGATGGTATTGTTCTTGGTATCAAATTGCCAACTTCTGGGGCGCTACCGATACTGCGAGAAAATGCAGTTTCATGCACTTAGATGTTAAAAGTCAAGATGGGTTGATTTCTTCAACACGAATCGACCAATACTGAAAATGCTCTGTCTCGAACATTTCAGTGTATCACAAGTCATGTCAAACCTTCTGTCTGTAAATCATGAGAGCTGTGTCAACTTCCCCCTCGCCTCCATATTCGGTATCGTCTTGGGAGAATTCCTTCTCGATAGAAAATCCAAGCCGCTTATAAACACCAACTCCGGCTTTCATGGCATGCACGAATATGTCCAACTTCATTTCTTCCGCCTGTTTCATACCGCTTTCGACCAATACAGTACCGATTCCCTTACCTTGATTGTCGGGATGCACAGCCAAGTAATCTAAACCTACCAGTATCATTAACCTCAAGATAACGGATAGGAGAAAATTCGACTAACGCATATACGACTTCTTTGCAAGTATTTCGTCCTTCGCCTCACGTATGGGGATGAGCAGCTCATCTGACTCCTCGTTCGGGTCCCAGTGAGCCGTTTTGGCATTACGCTGGATTTCAGCTTCTTCCTCGGGAGTGACAGCCGGGACCATGGCGTCAGGCCATGTGGGTGTACCGTCGGCAGTTGTGGAGTGGGAGGCGGGGAGATACCAACGTGCGAAACCTACGATACGCCCGGTAGCAGGATCGACGGCTTTTTGTTGTCACTTCGTCTCGGGATTGCCCAATAGATTCCGCGGCGTGCGTTTGGCTACCTGGGCTATGTGGTACTCGAGGGTCCGATGACGCCAGGCCAGGTTCCAGTGCGGATCTGCCCAGAAGGCGGAGATGTTGTTGCGGGTCAGCTCATCACTGTCAGCAACGGTACATTGCTGAATGATATACTTGTTTTCAGTCGCCATGGCTTGCAAAGAACGTGGTGGGTGTTTTCTTGGCAAGTATTATAATGAAGGCTAGCCGTCAATAAGGGAGCTATTTGTCCGCTCATATCTTGGCTACTACTGCCGGTTTTAATGCGATCTCGCTTTGAGAAACCAACGTTACAGCTGCGACTGATGCCACGTTGCGTTGGCAGCATCGGAAAATCAACTTGTTGTGTTGAAGTAAGCCAGTCATCCTCCGGTGGGGGTACATCTACTTTTGTGACTTTGACATGTTGGTCGTGATAGAAGAGTTTCTACGAACATTTATTGCAAACGCCTATATGAATAGAAACACAAATCTAGAACAGAAGTATTAGTCTACCGATATTGTCTTGTCATAGAAAATAACCAGAAATTCTAGAATGATATGATTGTTGTAGCTCAGGTAGGCTAATTACCATAGGTTATGGTGACGCTGGGCTGGGTTGACCTATTACAATGATGCCGATATAGCCGGGCTCGTGGCGCAACAATGGATTGATTGGTCTGGCTGGATCTATCGTAACTGCGACGGAGATGGCAGACTACACAGGCCTAGCTAGAATGGTTACAATTGACAATGACGACGTCACTCTATTATCACGCTTGTCGTCAGAAAGGGGTAGAACGACATATCATTGGCTTTCTGGAAATTCGAACCACCGTGATTGTCAAATTTCCAAGAGATACAAATGAGGTTGACAATTGAAACCAAAGGTGTTTTACTTCATGATTATTGAAGGGAAGACGTGCCAAATATAAAGGCAAAAGAAGAAAGGAAGAAAAGGAAAGAGCTCCCCTTGCTACCAAGAAAAGATAAGAAATATCACCCTTTTTTCAACAAATCATCCCTTTGCAAATGATGCTTACTTGAAAAGGCCATGCTTAGCTCAAGGAATAAAACATTCCAATCGTGATTGTTCAGACATATTGGGTGAGAGAACATGACATGTTGGCGAGTTCTTCGTACTGGAATCAACTGAGGCCGAGAGAGTAAGGCTGGAATGAAGCATAGAATTTGTAAAGTGCTCTATCACGTAGCTGCAGGTCGTCAAAATACGATTTCTGTGGCGATGCGATGCGATGTTGTCCACGTCCTGCTGATGTAACGCCATTAATAACTAGCCAACCCACTCTAACTCGTCTGTGGTGAAATAACTTTTTGAGGGAAATATGAGAAAGGTAAATATTGAAGCGGGAAGTGACTGAATTCTTAACATGCAGAGACGGGAATTGTGCCCAAATAAGACTGTGTCGGTGCCCATGTATCAACTGTAAATGTTAATACCGTATAATTCATGGAGCTTGGACTCTCCGGGGTTTTGAGCCTTTTGAGGGGTGTCATATCTACGCACTATCATTGTTTGCCTCTGTGGAAGACGAGCACAGGTGGGAACAGGTGGATACGGTAGGTTGCTGCCATTCAATTGGTGATCGAGACTGCGGTGTTCTCCCTCGAGCCAGAGGACTGGAGGCAAACATTTGCATTATGCGGCAGAGCCAAGGAGCAGGGGTTGGGTGCTGCAGCCGAACAACTGACCCAGAAAGGGGCAAGGAGACCGCATGGATGAGAGCGTCACGAGGGGGGTGTTAATCACGAGAGGCGGCCAGGAGTAGGCCGATGTGTGCCGACTGGAGGTGTAGGAATTCGGCGTAATGTTGTTGGTGCTAATTACTCTATTATTTCTTGTGCTTGGAATGAGGCAATTAATCCCGATGGAATGAGATCGCTCCCGCCACAATCAGCTGTGTCATTAAGTGGTCGCCGTCTGGGACCATCTTACTTGGCGCCGATCAAGTCAAATGAGATAGCATCAGATGAAACAACAAGGGTAGGTATATCAGCTGATTGAACAAGAAAATCAAAAGTTTTGTATTCGGACATAGGAAATCTAGCACTTCTCGCACTTCTCGTTCTTCTCGAGATCTAGCTCGATAGTGGTTGTGACAGCGCCATCATCAGCCGAATCCTTATTCGGCGCAGAATCCTCCCTTCCTACAATCTCTGAGCTGCGGAAGAATAATACAACAATGATAAGGGAAGTGATGCCGAGGGCGAAGTTCATCCAGTTGGCTGCCCGGAGACCGTCCAATGAGGGCTGATCCCACCCCTCCACCGGGCCTGCTTTCTCGACCGACACACCCCTGGCTTTAGCCATGATGGCCGTTTGGACAGCCGTGGAGATGGCCAGTCCGATAGATCGACCGACTTGGCCCACAGAGTTGACGAGGGCGCCGCCAAGGGCTTGGTCTTCCTGGGGTAGGGCCTTGGAGACAAACAATATCAGGGTGGGCCACGCCATGTCCGCACCGATAACCGATAGGACCATGGCGGGCAGACCGTAGGCAAAGTAAGATGTGTCTGTGGGGATCGGCGTCGCAAAAAGCAGACATGCAATGGAGACTGAGACATGGCCGCAGACGAGGAGGATGTATGTCGGCACGCGGGAGATCAACAACGCAGCTGCCCAGGCGACTAAGATGCCACCAATGCCGGTGGGAAGGAAATACAGTGTTGTTGTGAGGATGGATTTGGCTTGGTAGTCCTGGTAGAAGTAGGTTGCAAAGATGAGGAAATTGTTGAAAGAGGCAAAGAAAAGACCCATGATTGCGAGGGCGGCGCAGAACTTGCCGCTATGGAAGATGGAAGTCTTCATGAGCGGAAGGCGGTCAGTCTGGAATTCGAGATAGCGTTGCCAAAACCAGAAAAGTGAAATGATGATGAAGGAGACCACAATGAGAATGGTGATCCACGGGGTCGTCCAGCCGACCACGTTGCCTTCCGTGAGTGCAAGCATCAGTGAGAGGAGGCCTATGGTAATGAGACCTCCTCCGATCCAGTCGACAGACTTCTTGGCGCTGGCGCTCTTCTCCCCGGGTGTTGGCACTGCTGGCGGGATGAAGAAGAAGCCGGCAATGGCAACAAGGGCGGCAAGGAAGGCCATGACACCAAACACACACTTCCAGTTGGCATACTGGGCGATGAAGCCCGAGAGGAGAGTACCGAAGACGCTTCCCAGAGGGACACCTGCTCCGTAGGCAACAAACGCATACGTCTTTGTCTTTCCAGGCGGGAATGTTGTGCCCAAGATGCCAATGGCCGTTGGGACGTTTGCAGCGGCGCCCAGACCTTGCAGTCCGCGGAACACGTTGAAGGCAATCTCGTTGGGAACGAAGGGGTTGGCAAGGGTCATGATGGCTAGCCAAGCGGTGCCGGCGATGAAGATTATGCGCTTGTCGTAGATATCGGCTATGCGGCCCCAGAGCAGAAGAAAGCAGCCGAAGGCGAGGGAGTAGGCCGATACGATCCATTGAAGACGTGTTTCTGGGATGCCGATATCACGACCAATGGTAGGGAGGATGATGACTACGGCTTGGACGGAGAGTGTCTAGAGAACAGCGTCAGAGGTAGTTCGGAGGCGAGGTTAGGGGCGATGCACTTACATTCATGAAGCTTGCGCCGCTGACTGTTGTGACGAGAGCAATACTGCGGGCTTTGGACATGGCGGGCTTTTCAGGACCACTGCTCACGCTACTGGAATCATGGTCGGTGTTGTCGGGGTTTGATGACACCAGATCCGATGTCTGAAAGCCCTTCTCAGAGTCCAGCTCGTTGAAGCCGATGTTGTGTGTGAAGACGACCTCAACGTCCTTCTCTTCTGATATAGGGACGTTGAGGTCTATGGCCCTGTCGAACGAGTTGCGCCTCATCTTGTCACGTAGTTCTGGGAAAAGAAGAAGAAGGTTGTGACTGGATGGTGTAGGGACTTGTGGAATGTTTCTCTGGATGGGAAGTTGTGAGCTACATTCATTATGGTGCGACCGCTTGGCCTTTTATACTCTTCGTGGTGGACGCAAACCCTAGCAGTGTTTGCTCAGTCAATATCAAAGCCGAGCTCTGGACCGTGTCGACCGCTGATGATGCCGACGCCTTACTGTGGACTGCATCAGGTGAAGTTGCACAGTGGAGATGCCTCAAGGATAGATGTTAGATGCTTTTTCTTCTTTGACGTCGTCAACTAGGGCTGCCCTGGCCTGGACTGGGCCGGATGGAAACCCGGAAGCCATCCGCACGGGTCTCGTAGGTTCAAGACATATAGAACATGGACCTTGAAGACAGACTAGTCGAGATAATCGAAGGTTGCGAGCCTGCCCCGGCGGGTTGTGGCTTTCCGCCTTCCCCTTAGCCCCATGTCGGTCTCCGGGGAGAGACTTCCGGTCAGTTTTCCGCGGCGGCGAATGTCACCCTCGAAACTGCATCCATGCATGGTAGAATGTCATGTTGAGGAATGGGGTTTGGTTTCCCCAGCGTGCAAAAAAGGAAACGTTTGACGCTGGGATTCACCATTACCGGAAACGGAGTGTGAGTTCAGCTCCACATACGCCGAGATTCCTACCGACATCGCTCACGTCGTCGTTTTCAACCGGGTACGCACGGTGCTCCTGACAACATGTTCGTTCAGGTGAACCGACTGAACCCCCTAGGGTTCATCTTGCCGAGTCGAGCCTTCGTCGCCTCGAGTAAATGACTTGGCGCTTCAGAAAGCGAACAGAGTGCGCGTAGTTGCACTTTCTGTGAGATGCAAATTTTTTCCAGGAGGAAAAAACAACAAGCAATGATGACGCCTCATTGTCTGAGATGTTCCCACTCATAGATTGAATGTAGGGAGGTAGCGAGTAAACACAGCTGACAAGGGTTCGACTGAGCCTTCGAGATGAGGAAAGATCAGCTTCGAATCAACGTACTAGGTCGAGACATTGGACCTTTAGCCGGTCTTGCAGTAGTGACCCGGAGAACAACCCCCTCCCCTCGTGTGAGTGAAGAAGAGAGGGAGTTGATCTAATGCAGCTGGGCGTCATCTGGCGGCGCCGAGCGGCAATTCCGGTGAATGGGTCAGGCAATGTTTCCCCCCCTTGTTGAGAGTTGAGAAAAGAACCTACATAAGCGAAGCCCGATACGGCAGCCCATCCCAGAAGAGTTGCATGACAATATTAGCCGGAGCATTCCCAGAGGCATGGCTGACCCCCGCAGGGGAGAGATTCTCATAGCTTCCAGATGGGAAAAAGCAAATACTCAGGAGATCCGAGTGTCGATGTCCTTCCAATAAGCAATGAGGAGCCAGGACTTGCCTACCTGCGCAACCCCGACATCGATGCAAGGTTTCACGCAACAGTTAGGCGCCCACGGCGGCGCGCATGACAGATATAGGGTCAGCAGCTCGTACGAGTCAAAGTGCTGCCGCCTTGCGTAGGTTTTGTTTTCTCAGATCTGGAGCCCCTGTTGTCGGAGGTCGCGAGGTGTGGTCTGGCTCCCTTCCGAGTCGCTGCGGCGGCTGGATGGCCCACAAGCCGGCACGTAGAATGGTAGAAAAAAGCAGCGAGCTCTTGGACATTTGGAGAAAATGTGTAACAGGAGATGAAAAGAAATCGGCCGGTTTGAACACGCGAAAAGGAATAATTCGAGAACGTTCTGCCCTCCAAGAGCCCCCTGACGAGGCTTGGAATCATGTCAGAGTCTGTGAATGCTTCTCGAATGGCGACTTAAGAAAGAAGCATGCCATGGCTGCATGGTGTTGTCCACTGGCGATTGTGATGAGGAGGAATTCAAAAATGACAAGTCGTTGACTAGTAGACGGCCGTGAACTTGATTTTTCGTTTCTTATCTTTTCCCTTTCTGTTAGAAAGGATTTCAAGAAATTGCTTTTTCCTAGTAGTGGCCCCCGCATGTCCACGTAGTTACCAGGTAGGACACACACCCCCGATTGCATACTCATCATTCCTGGCACAGAGATCGGGAATCTGGGAATCTCATTCGAGCTATGCGGGTGTTGCCCCATTCCACGGTAGTGGTCCTAGATGAGACAGATGATCGGATCGTCCGAACAGCATTTGCCATGGCGAGGAGATAACTTCGGGACAAGGGAGCCGATTCCCCGTCGAGTACTGGACCCTTGCACCTGCCAGGAGACGGGCTGGCATTTTGATCTGAGACCTGGGCTTCTCAAACTCGACCTGATTGACTTGATCGGGTAGAGGGGGAGCCTGTGTGGAATGATGCCTGGCTTTCGGCGACATTTCCACTCGTATTTTGACACATTTCTCAAATTCCTGGCAAAAAGGGAAAACGATGTCTCATTCGGTGACCGTAAACATCATTCGAAACCAGAAAGCAAGGCCTATGTGCGAAATATTTGGTATATAATCGACGAGGACAAGATCCGCAGTCGGAGGGACGTAAGGGGCCAGCCAGGGTTTAATGGGGGGAAGGGGGGGACGGGGGTGGCCGCCTTTCCGTCATACGGCCGAAACCCGGGTTGAGCCAGGTCTCTGATTTTGTTAAAGAACGTCACCGCCAAGGAAAATAATTGCAAACTGCTCACTTCATTTTTTTTCCCCCTTCGTCTTCTTCTTTCCCTCCCCCAACTTTCCCCTTGCCTTCTCGTTTTACCCTCAAATCAAAACCACCCAGAGAGTCGGAGGCAAGGAGGTGAGAGAGCAGCGAGTCAATAGACCTACTCTGAAAGCCACAACAGATTCTTGAAAATATAGAACCTCAACATATACGTGGCAGTTTTTGTTCAATTTTTTTCATGATTTGTATATTATTGTTTTCATATATTCGCTCCAGAGCACGACTTACAGGGCCGTGTGAGGTCAACCGAGTCCGGATTACCTGGACCTATCTAACACCATGTCATGTTTGTGATGGAACAGGTTCCAGTGAAACAACGAAATGCCCGGATAGCGTCTAAATCTTCAGTGAATCCTTTATAACTGCGTTTAGAGGCATCCACGGTTATGTCTATGTCAAACTGTGGTTGGTCAGTCGATAGAATGCACAGCAGCGTCAATAATGCATGCGAGATGTTCCATTTTGACCGCCTTGAAATGTCAATTAGAAGCCTCCTTTCTGCTATATGTAAAAGCTTACTGGGTTCTTCTGTAGATTTGTACGGTTAAATTAGCAATATCCATCTCTAAATTTGCATTTTGCATAGGACCTTACTGATGCATCCCTCCCCTCCTTGTTCTCTGGGTGAGGATGACTGAAATGTCGGTTCATGGCGTGATGCTTCCGGTGATAATTTGGGGTTTGTTTCTATAGAACAATGAAATTGAAACCGACACATCTCGGTATTGTTAGTGTTTTCAAATTTGATCTGGGTAGTTGGAAACGGCCAATCAACTGCTTTGTTTATCAGTGTTGTCGCATCAAGCAGACAATGCCCATAGCTTTTCAATCAAAAGACGATGCTACCATGATCTCTCTAGCACCTCCGAAACACAGCTTTTGAAATTTGTTATTCGTCCTGCTTTTGTGTTGAAATTCTACAAGGGAAACATGAGACCAGCAAGCCGCTGCAGATTTCACTTGTGTGGCTTTACTCCAAAGGTCACAATCTCAAATTGCTCCGAGCCGAAGTCTTGGTATAATAATGTACCTCCAATTACCGTCGTCGATTAAGGCAAGTTCCTCATCAAGCTCCACTGAAACAGAGTCCGTATGAAAAGCAAGATATAGACAGCCTTTGCCGAAGACTTGCTGTAGGGTGAATCCCTAGGAGATCACTGTAGGTAAAAAGCCGAGATCTGGCAACAAGCAAGGTGCATATTCGCCTTTTTGTAAACTTAGAAGATGAACTACCATATTACACCTAGAAAGGACCCGTTTTGGTGTAGGTTATAGCTCTTAATGTGTTACTCTTGATAATCAGACGAACAGATGGAGTCATGAACGATTCGACCAATGGTTCCGGCACAGCTGTGTGTGCGCTTTATGGAAGCTGCATTCAGATCCATGAGTCTGGACTCTTTCGTGTGAAGAAGTCCTGGCATGGAAAATGTCACCAGTTGATAACCTCTGATGTTGTGTATACAAAGTACAAGGTTCCATGTCGATATGCTTTCTGCGGCTAGACTAATAAGCTATTTAATTCATCGGGATCTTGTCTGGGCATATCAAATCAATCACATCCCTCTCCTTCTCGAAAAGCTGAAAGTCAGAAGACTTAACACGTCTCACTCTCTATCCTAAGCTTCAACACTCTTAACATTAGTGAGTGCTTTCTACTTTCATATCTAAAGTTTCAATAAGTTGAAACTTGAACAGGTGGGCCCAAGCATGCTGCGATCAATTATCTGTGTTATTAGTGAATTGACCTAGTGTATACGTAGGTCCATCAAGTCAATAACAAGAGTGTAATATCAGCTAGACAGTGTACCTTCCTTTGCATACGCTCAACTCTTCTTTTCTACTAGCTGAGTGACCAAACCGACCGATTGACACCCTCCCATATAAGCTTCGCTTTCACCCTTTCATGCATCCATGCTGGCGGTAGGAGTTTACCTGCCAGAGCGCTCTCATCTTATCCCAACTTCACCTTCAGTCTAGCCACTTCTCTCACCTGAACTCCAACATCAAGCTTTACTTCACCTCGCACAACAACACTCTGATCTCACTTCTGCTTTCAAGCATTGCTTCTGCCTCATGTCGGGATTTTGAGCCGCTTGCTTCTTACAATACCCAGGCGACCAGTTTCCCAGGCAAGGACAAAGAGGGAGGAGCATCAAAAGTATCAAAGCTGTCTCTGACCTGAGTGAGTATTACTCACCGAGTCCAGCCCATTCCTTCACCCACTCCTTCCACAACCAATCAATCTTGCAGCACCTGCCTCTTCTGCCTTTATCTCCTCCCTTGAAGCGGCTCCACC